GAGAATCCCAGAATCAGCTGGGTTGGAAGGGACCTCTGAGATCATCCAGCCCAACCCTTGATCCAACCCCGCCGTGGTTCCCAGCCCATGGCACTGATGCCACATCCAGTCTGTCCTTAAACACCTCCAGGGATGGAGAATCCCCCACTTCCCTGGGCAGCCCATTCCAATGGCTGAGCACCCTCTCTGCAAAGAATTCCTTCCTTTCCAACCCAACCGATTCTGGGATTCCATGACTCAGAAAGCAAAGTCCTCCTGTTTTGTTTTCCTTGTCCTCCAGGGGATTCCCGGGACACCCGGACCCAAAGGCAACAAGGTCAGTACCAACCTCCTGGGGTGGGAATGGGACATCCCACTGCCCTTCCTGGCTCCTTATCCCTGTCCCTATCCCGCCATTCCAGCCCCAGTTCACCTTCATTCCCTCCTTCCCTGTGGTTGCCGGAGGATCCTCCGGAGCGAGCAGGAATCCCATGGAATTGAGTCTCCGGACTCTTCCTGTGACCAAACTCATCGGGAATTCTGGGATGGGGTGTCTCTGCTCCCGGTGTGACCTGGGGGGGCGGGTTCTCTGCTCCACAGGGAGAATCCGGCGTCGGAGTCTCCGGCCCCAGAGGTCCCCGTGGAATTCCTGGCCCTCGGGTAGGTCCCTCCGGAAAAATTCCTGGCTTGGCTTCCTGAATCCAAGCCCTTCCTTGTTCCATCACCTCCCGCTCCCACATCCAGGGCCGATCCCAGAACCTCCTTGGCCTGGGAATGTTCGTTTTCCTCCTGCCCCTGGAGAAGTTCTGGTCTCCTTCTGGTCAAGACCCTCTGGAGTCACATCCTCTGGAATTCCAGGAGTTCCCAGCGGGATGGTTTGAGGAGCTGGGAACTGAGGGGGTGTGGTGGCCCTCAGTTGACCTCTCCATCCTGGAGAATTCTGGATCTTTGAGGCTCCTGGATCCAGATCCATGGAGAATTGAGGATCTTTGAGGCACTTGGATCCAGATCCATGGAGAATTGAGGATCTTTGAAACTCCTGGATCCAGATCCATGGAGATTTCTGCATCTTTGAGACTCTTGGATCCAGATCCATGGAAAATTGAGGATCCATGGAGAATTAAGGGTCTTTGAGGCTCTTGGATCCAGATCCATGGAGAATTGAGGATCTTTGAGATTCTTGGATCCAGATTGATGGAGAATTCCTCAATTCTCTTTGAGGCTCTTGGATCCAGCTCCATGGAGAATTATGGACCTTTGAGATTCTTGGATCCAGATCCATGGAGAATTGAGGATCCATGGAGAATTGAGGATCTTTGAGATTCTTGGATCCAGATCCATGGAGACTTCTGGATCTTTGGATCTCCTGGATCCAGATCCATGGAGAATTGTGGATCTTTGAGGCTCCTGGATCCAGATCCATGGAGAATTGTGGAAGTTTGGGAATCTTGGATCCAGATCCATGGAGAATTGAGGATCTTTGGAATTCTTGGATCCAGATCCATGGAGAATTGAGGATCTTTGGATCTCCGGATCTCCTGGATCCAGATCCATGGAGAATTCTGGATCTTTGAGGCTCTTGGGTCCAGATCCATGGAGAATTCCTCAATTCTCTTTGAGGCTCTTGGATCCAGACCCATGGAGAATTGAGGCTCTTGGATCCAACTCCATGGAGAATTCTGGATCTTTGAGGCACTTGGATCCAGCTCCATGGAGAACTGTGGAACTTTGGAATTCTTGGATCCAGATCCATGGAGAATTGAGGATCTTTGAGGCTCCTGGATCCAGATCCNGATCCATGGAGAATTGTGGATCTTTGAGATTCTTGGATCCAGATCAATGGAGAACTGTGGAATTTTGGGACTCTTGGATCCGGATCCATGGAGAATTGAGGATCTTTGAGGCTCTTGGATCGAGATCCATGGAGAATTCTGGATCTTTGAATCTTCTGGATCCAGATCCATGGAGAATTCTGGATCTTTGGATCTCCTGGATCCAGATCCGTGGAGAACTGAGGATCTTTGGTGCTCTTGGATCCAGATCCGTGGAGAATTCCTCAATTCTCTGTGAGACTCTTGGATCCAGATCCATGGAGAATTGAGGATCTTTGGAATTCTTGGATCCAGATCCATGGAGAATTGAGGATCTTTGGAATTCTTGCATCCAGATCCATGGAGAATTGAGGATCTTTGGAATTCTTGGATCCAGATCCATGGAGAATTGAGGATCTTTGAGGCTTCTGGATCCAGATCCATGGAAAATTGTGGAACTTTGGGACTCTTGGATCCAGATCCGTGGAGAATTCCTCAATTCTCTGTGAGACTCTTGGATCCAGATCCATGGAGATTTCTGGATCTTTGAGACTCCTGGATCCAGATCCATGGAGATTTCTGGATGTGTGAGGCTCTGGGATCCAGATCCATGGAAAATAGTGGATCTTTGGGACTCCTCGATCCAGATCCATGGAGAATTGTGGATCTTTGAGTCTCTTGGATCGAGATCCATGGAGAATTCTGGATCTTTGAGACTCCTGGATCCAGATCCATGGAGAATTGAGGATCTTTGGAATTCTTGGATCCAGATCCATGGAGAATTGAGGATCTTTGAGGCTCCTGGATCCAGATCCATGGGGATTTCTGCATCTTTGAGACTCTGGGATCCAGATCCATGGAGAATTCTGGATCTTTGGATCTCCTGGATCCAGATCCATGGAGAACTGTGGATCTTTGAGGCTCTTGGATCCAGATCCATGGACAATTGTGGATCTTTGGGACTCTTGGATCCAGATCCATGGAGAATTGTGTATGGAATTCTGCTCCATCCCCCCAGGGTGACGAGGGCATCGTGGGACTCCGGGGTCCCGTGGGAATGATGGTGAGTGTTAAATATATA